TAAAAGAATTCCACAAAATACTAGACAAATGGGTATAAGATTAACAAAAATAACTAATAAAAATAACCTTTCAAAAATGTGCACTCAACATATATTCCATAATTGAATAAAAAGAGAAACCCAGAAAAGAAACTCACTTCTGAACTAAATAAAATAAAATTTACTAGGAAAAATTATCACTGAATAAGGGACATGAAATGAACTTCACTTAAAGAAATCAATAAGGTCTTAGAATTTAAAGTAATTAGAAAAGAAGAAGAGCTCAAGATAATTAACAAGCAAAACTTGATTCTTATTTGTATTGGTAAAATCCATAAAACTTCACTGAGAACCAAAACTAACAAAATTAAGAAATGAGCAACTAAATTGACATTGAAAGTTGCCCAACACTTTCAGAAAATTAAAATAGAAACTTAATTGTTACAGAGTGAATAGAAGATCCACAAAAAATCAACCAAAATACATACACACAAAAAAAGGCGAAATTGCCTTCAGCCAATGCTACCGTCCATAATCAAAATGCATAAACAAATAAAATTCACAAAACTAAAACCATCAAAATTCACTGAAAAATAATTAAAAGGAAAAAAGAGAAATTTAACCTTGTCTTTATCGTCAAGAATAATGTCAGCGGTTAAATTCTCCTGAAGCAGCGATCGATCACCGCCACCCCCATTTCCAACTTGGAATGTATAAATCCAATAAGAAAGGATCAAGAACAGCGACGTGGCCACCGCCACTTTGACCTCCCACGAAGACGGCACCAGATATTCCACCACCAACGCCGTCTCGATCATCATTAATTAACTTCCGTAACTATTATTTCTAATATAAGATTGTATTAGATTAACAAAATAATTTGATTAGACATTTTGGTTAAAACTTGAAAGGGTTTAATTTTAGGGTTCTTTGACTTGTAAATTAAACAATCAGTGGATTTGGGGGGAGAGAGTTAAAGAAGGAGACCGTTGGAGGTTGAATGGTTTGGCAATTTACACATGGAAAAGAATCGTTAATGAGGTTTTAATGACTTAAATACCCTTATTCTTTCCCTGTAATAAATACTATGTCTGGCTTTGTTTTGTGGTTTTGGTGGGTGCGAGGGGTAATTTGAACTGTGGTTTTGAAAATTTGCATGAGACGGATGGATAGAGTTTATTTGATAGTGATGTTATGAGTAAAAATCCACAAAATTATATATATATAAAACTTATATTGGCCAATGGCATAATTTCATAATTACCCATGTACAAACGGTGATTTTTTTTTTATCATTTTACTTCTCAACGTTTCAATTTATGATCAACATAGATCACGTTAAATAAAAATGATTAATCAATTAGAAATTAATACATATTACTAACATGTCATTTTCATATATTATCATTATGATATGTGTAGATACTAACTATATATATATATATATATATATATATATATATTTTATATATATATATATATATATAGTTTTTATATAGTTTTTATAAACTATATAATGTATAGTTTTAAAAAAAAACATTTTAAAATATATATAATATATAATTTTTAAAATCATTTTGAAAACTTATATATATATAATTTTTGAAAACATTTTTGAAACACATATATTATAGTTTTGAAAATATTTTTGAAAACATTTATATATTATATAGTTTTTAAAACGTTTTTTGAAAACTTATTTTTAAAACTATATATAATATATAATTTTTAAAATCATTTTGAAAACTTATATATATATAATTTTTGAAAACATTTTTGAAACACATATATTATAGTTTTGAAAATATTTTTGAAAACATTTATATATTATATAGTTTTTAAAACGTTTTTTGAAAACTTATATAATATTTTTGAAAACATGTTGAAAACATTCGTATATTATATAGTTTAAAAAAAACATTTTGAAAATTTATATATTATATGTTTTTGAAAATATTTATGTATATATATTATTATTATTATTATTATTATTATTATTATTATTTTTCATTTTTTAACTTATTTTGGTTTTGTTTCAGGTCCAAAACAAGGTCCAAACAAGTTAGAACGGGCCTTAATTAACCCAGCAAAGGTTTATGGTCTGAAAACCCTAGGCACGCATGTCAACAGGCGCCGCACAAGGGATTCGAGGAGTCAAGCACGTCACTCAAACGGTCAGATTTTCCGGCCGAGATTCCCGGGACTGACCCATCCCGGGGTGTCCGGCCTCAACGGCCACGAGAGCCCCGTATTTCAGAACAGACCAACGACCGGTGGGGGGTTATAAAAACCCACGACCAATACAGTACAGGGGACCCCGGAGCATCAAGTATCACCGAGAACAACACGCATCAACAAGAAACCAGATAGTACCATCATCGAGAGCCAACAAAGAAAACAAAACAAAACATTTCAGTACCAAAAGACGCAAAGCCGAAACAACAAATAACAGAACCATCGGTCACTACCCACACAGACGAAACAGAAAAATCCAAGAAAACCTATACAACAAGCAATACAAAAGGAAAAACCAGCAGTCACTGTGAAACGGTGAAATAACGACGAAAAGGTAAAGCCTTTCGCCTTAGATTTACTCCGATCTAGTGGCTCTTTGGCGGTTTTGAGGACAGATTCAGCTTTGGGGTGACGATAGGAAGCTTCTAGGTGAGTGTGGGTTTCTCGGCTGCCGCTTGCGGCAGCCGGAGCGAAGGTGATGTGGCTGAGTGGGCCACCAAACGGTGGCCGGAAATCGCTAAGGGATAGGAACCGAGAGCTTTCTCTCGTTTAAGATAGGAGAGTTTTAGAGAAATGGTGAGAATGAGGGAAAAATAGGCTGGTTTTGGTATTTATATACGAAGGACCAAAGTGCAAATACAGGATTGTCAAATCCTTTCCGCTGTCCCTGGTATTTTGAATCGCTTTACAATTCAGTCACCAGTTGTAAATTAGCCTCCTAATTTCCAATTTGTTTAATTTAACCCGTGTTTATTTTTTCATACTTTGTGAATTGGCCCTAAACCTTTTATCCTTTCTGTTGCAGTACATTGTTTTAAAATCCCTTAAGTCCAATTTGTTTCAATTAGATCCTAAGTTTTATTTTATTTTGTTTTATCGTCATTATTTTTTTTCTCGTATTATTTTATTTTATTGCTTCTAAACCTTAACCTTTTTTCGCCTTAACATTTCTTTGAAAAAGTTTTCTTTTTGTTTTCTTTGATTTATTCGTATTTTTTTTATTTTATTCCTTTTTATGTACCATATTTTTCCTTTTTTTTTTGCAACTTTTATTTTTATTTTTCATTTTTTTAATTTATTATTTTATTCTTTTATTTACTCTTGATCTATTTATTTATTTATTTGTTTATTTTATTTTATATTTTTATTTATCGTAGCTATTATTATCATTTTTCTTATCTAACATGTTCGATGTTTTTTATAAGATTTTATAACCAATCAAAGGTAAGTAACTCGAATCGGATTTTTAAATTACAATTTAAAATTTTAATTTTCGCATTTAAAGACAACCGATAAATTAATTGGTACCGAAAGGGCGATTCAAGGGTGCTAATCATTCCTTGACCGTAATCGACTCCCGAACCCAACACGTTTCTGGTACAATGTAGATCAGGTAAGATGGTGTCCGACCCACCTAAATTCATTTTAAAGTGATCGGTGGCGACTCCCAATCCATTTTTCACGTCGAAGCCCAATTCCGGGGCCCAACCGAAAGACGGTTGCGACAATATGTCACATCATTCAAAAAAAGATATGATATACGTCATCAATTAAAATAATGATGTGATATATGTTATGTCATCTAAAATGATGGCATGAGACAAATTACGTAAATAATCGAACACATATAAAATATTACGTCGACAATATATGTTGAAAATTAGTAAAGTAATAGTTTCTATCCAATAATGATTGTTTTGACGAAAAAAATGAAACATTGGGAAGTAAAAAGATTGTTTTGGATAATTGTGTCAATATTCCTTGGCTAGGCCACACGTAGAATTTTATATTAGAGATAGCAATTTAGAAATATAAATTTAAAGGTATAATATTATAAAGGTGTGTAACCTTAATTAGAGGTAAGCAAAACTCAATTTAACTTGAAAAAATGATTTTTTTGACTCAACTCGATTCAAAATTTTTTTTACTCCAATTAATTTATAGTTGTAATTTCATAAACTCAATTTGAAAATTTTTAAGTTCGAATCAAATTGTATTTTATAACTCGAATAACTCAAAATTTTTAGTAATTAATAGATTGATTTTCAAGTTTGAGTCAAGTCTCTTGACTTTATATAGTATATGTAAATCACATATGAAAAAAATACAAAAACATATATATTTATTATATATGGTTATAAAATGTCATTTAAATTGGAATCAAATAATGTCATAATATTGTAAATATTTAAAAATGAATTTAAATACAAAATCAAAAATTTCACTCGACTCGAAAATTTTTCAAATCAACTCCGAGTTATAAAATAAGACTCGTCAACTTGAATAACTCGAAATTTTTTTACTCGACTCGATCAAACACTCACCCCTAACCTCAGTGGTTAAAGGGATGATTATTATCCCTAGAGGTTTTGAGTTTTATTTGGTCAAAGTTTTTGAACTTTTTACTGTATGATAATATTAAGTGGCTACTTATGTTAATGATGATAGAAAAGTGTCATTCTGTTTTTTATGTTAATGATAATAGAAAAATGTATAGAAAAATTAGGATGAGATGGCACTATATTTTCAAGAGTAGTGATTTATTCATGTTCAACGTATGAATAAGAATAACTCTGAAAAGATAAAAGCCAGCTGAACTTCCCCATCATAGTCTTGGCTTATAATTACATATGTTGGCCAAACCTTGTAATTTAGGATTCAGATTTCATTCATTCAATAAAATTAGTCTGTGTAATTCCAAAACAAAAATGGAAAGTGTCGTGAGACAAGAATTTTTCAAGTTGAACTTTCCATTTGTGTATTTTCATGATCTCAATTCTGATTTTTCATGCATGACAAAAGAATTTTACCAACAGAACAAAAACTTGTTGAGAGTTAAACTTGTTTGAAGAAGCCTCTGAAACTTTTGCCTTCTTTTGGCCAATGGATTTCGGAATCCAGGAATTTGAAGTGCCCAGAGTGCTCGAACTATCCATTCCAGCTTCTTGTCCTTTCCATGGAATAGGTTGTAAATGCTGCCAAGGATCTTCCAACATGGATTCATCAAAGTAACTCTCTGGCCCTAATATCCTGTTTGATGCTGAGCTACGACCACAAAAGCCTTGTCCTCGTCCTACACTTCTTCCTAAACAAGGAGTGCTGCTCCCACTGTATCCACGACTCCTGCCTCTTCCTGGACTGAAATAATGATTACCTCTAGATCCTTGATCAAGGATTGGTCTGTTAACAAACATTTGAGGCCTGGCTGTTCTGTAGTTGACGCTAGGTCCATCCGCTAGAGAAATGCCAGGGCTGGGCAAATTACCATAAGTTGATGTATTAGAAGGATTCCCGACCCTTTGAGAAGTTCCAGGATGCCTGGGAGGATTACCAAACATTCCTCTCGGTGTTCCATCAGAAACTAAGTTATAATGATCAGTTGCCTGTGATCCATTCCAAGCACCAGATTGGCCTTGATACATGAGTGAAGGACTTCTTATTCTTGGGTTGTATGGACCATGGTTGTATACACCTTGAGCATGCGAAAATTGGCTTTGCATCTGATGGACAGGGAAGTCCCTATCGAAGTTCCTTGGTCCTGTCAAACCAGAATAGTAGGGCGATCAATTAGAAAAACAAAAGAAGAACACCAATATGTTAATTGCAAAATTAGAGAAATTTCATACAACTAGTTTTAATCAATAACTCATTCACAAATTATCAGCTTAGTAGTAGCACAAATCAAATATTATTGCATGCCTCAATAACAACATCATGTTTACACAGAAAAAACTAGTAGCAAAAAGAGTACCGGGATGGGACGGTGCGTGCCAACCACTGTTAGTAGGCGATGTAAAAGATTGTTGCACAGTCTGGTTATGAATGTTGCTCCTCTTCTTGTTAGCAGAAAATGCTGCCATAGGGTCAGTATAGTAGTCGAAACGTGGAGCTTCTCCAAAGTCATCCTGCATAGTCGATGGTGTCTCGATCAATGGATTCGAAAGGCAACCAGGCATTTCAGAAGTCTCGACGTCATTAGACACTTCAGCTTCCATGCGCATTGCTTTCAACCTTTCCTTTCTTTTCTCAGATTCATCCATTTATCAAGAAGAAGGAACGTGCAAACTTCTTAATAATGATATCACCTAGCAAAATCGAACAAACAAATCGTTTCTTTTGTGCATAAGATTCTGAAGCTTTTGAAGGATGGATATAAGCTTCAACCTATAGTTTTTTAATTTACTTAGTTACAACTCTTAACCACCTAATAAAATTGAACCAATCTCACCCAAATTTAAGAATGTTAAATGACAATATTTCCACTTGCAAACCATATTGTTCTCTCTCGCTTTTCAAAAAGGCGGGGAGTAGATAACACAAAACGAACCATAAGCCGCACGAGTCGAGTAGAAATCAATGTTCAAATAAAGTTTAGGGTTTGAAAGACTACCTTGTTGAAATTTCTGGTCTGTTGGAAACTGGAAGGCAAGAGAGGGGTAGGGCGATGAACTGGAGGACGAGGAGAGGGTCCGCAGAATAGAGGTGAGTGGGAATAAACAGGAGGAAATAGAAGATGAAACCGCCACAGAGCGGTGGTGAGAGGCGTATTTGGCGACGGGGAGATTTTAGAAAAACCTCTTTTTTTTATCTTATTCGGATTATACATAATTTTTAATATAAGTTAAGTTTATACAAATTAATTACAATTATAATTTAGCGTAAACTGCTTCATTCATCACTAAATTTTATTTATCTCCCATTTCACTTATTATACTTTTAATTTTTTTAATTTACTCACAAAACATTCAAATTATTCTTATTTTAGTCATTACAAATTATTTTATTATTAATATATGACATGATATTTTTATATATTATTAAATATAAAGATATTTAAAATGGATAATAAAATAATATTTTATTGAAAATTGTCCTATGAAAGACCAGTAAAATTTCAAGGTGCACACACGTAATAAAACAAACATCTAATATAAGAAAACTTGGATTCCATGGTGAGCAAGTGCCCACCCCTCATCCTCCACTGCTCATAAACTCTCTGCATTTTCTCTGTATTTTTTGTATATATCGCTTCTGTAGTACTTTCGTGTTCTTAGAACCAAAACGAGAGAACTCAATGCTCCGAAGAAGGTAACAGTAGCCAAAATTATTAGCGACGACCTGTAACAATGAACGCCAATACAAGTCAATGCTTTCACAGACGATCGTGTTAGACCTTTCTTCGCAAGATCCTTCAGCGCCTCTCGATCGTATAAGAATCCCGTTAGCCTCACGTTGAATATGTATGAACCCAGCGGACTAACCAATTGTCCGCAATTGAACAACGTAGAGTAGTATTTCAGCCCGAAAAGCTCCGAAATGATGGCGAAAATCAACGGATATTGTGCACCGAATGAGAATCCGATGATGATGGATGCTGCATACAGTGAACCTGGAACCGGAAAGGCAACCAAAAGGTAGCCGATGCATGCGAGAAGAAGGACCATGGTCATCATCAGTGGTCTTGGAACCTTGTATTTTACGATCAATGTCTCCGATACAAAGCCGGAAAACACCCTTCCGAAGAAATTCCAGATGCTGAGCAGCGAGATGAAACTGGTGACTGTTTTATTCGGATAGCCGAGTGACTCACCGATTTGCCCCAAGTTGTCTACAGCAGTTAGGCTTGCACCAAGTCCACAGAATGTTGAAAGAAACAAAACCCACATGTCTACGCTTGTTAATGCTTGAAGAATCGTGTAGTCTTCTCCTCTCTTGGGCTTGTCAAAAATGGTTAAAAAACACGACTTTACTACCTTTTCATCATCCACTTGATTCGGATCGCCCACTTGTGCTGTTGGCCTCTCTACTGTGATCTCGCTTGGAGGATCCGTTGGCTGCTTTTGGATGTTCCAAACCAGTAATTCTTCTCTGATGCAAATGAAGAGAGGGGAAAAGACAAGGAAACAAACCACCGTGGTCACACCGGCGAATGCTGCTCTCGAGAAAGTAACAAGCTTCTCTGCTAAAGTCACCGCCAATAAAAACACCGCAAGAACAACTGAAGCTCCGAGGAACTGATAAAGCACGTTCACCTCATTGGGGTGTTTAACCGGCTTCATCGTCCGGATTGTATACACAAATATGACCGAAATCGCAGCCGGAAGCCATCCGATGAGAAGGATGAGAGACTTCGAATCATTCCCGTAAACAGCCAGATAAATCTGAGTCATCACAGCTCCACTGAGTCCAGTAAACCCCTTCAACAGACCCAACATCGAACCCCGGCTCTCAGGGAAGTTCTTTACGCTGGTGATAAGCGCACCAGTATTAGCAAAATTCTGGGAATTTGCTCCAATGCATATGTAAACGCACATTTGCCAAACCTTCGGTTTGGCTATTCTGCCTGTCACTGCTAACCAAATCATGAAATAGCCTCCGAAGTTGAATGCAGCGCCGAGTAGGAGAACGAACCAAGTGGGAGTTACCTCGGCGATAAGGCCGGAAAAGACACCGATGTTGGCACCGAGATCCTTTGAGAAGCCTAAGAGATTGAGAGTGGTCTGATCATAATCGAGAGTGGCTTTGATCTCTTTGGAGTAGGTTCCGAATAGATAGGTTGCACCGGTACCGGCCATGATCATGAAGGATGCAAAAAGTGCGAACCATCGTCCTCGAAGGAACTGTACCGTGAAAGGCAACAGTTCTTCGGCTTTGAGCCCTCTTGTCATCGTCAAACTGCCCATTGCTTCCTCAACTGTACTTCAAACTTTCTCTGTTTGCAGTCTGCGGGAATGGAATCCAGAGGAAGAAAGGGATCTGTTGATATAAGCTTTGCAGGGTTGATTAAAGAGTTGTTAAGCAAAGGATTATAGATAAAGATAAACTACTTGGGATTAGACTTTTGAGTTTGGTAGGTCACGTTATACAAATTTTATCGTGCCGTATTTCTTTCTCTAAATACGACTAGGGTATCAAATAACGTTCCGAAAAAATGATAACGACTGTGATATTGTGGTCGCGCCACCATCCGAAACCGATTTTTATGGTTTTTGCGGTGGGTCACGAATTCACACCAATATCGATCGATTGCGCCTGTAATTTAACGGGAAATGAAAGATTGCACTGATAACGAGACGCAACAACTGTTATTCAACCGCAATTCCAAGACAAAAACAAAAACCAACATATGCTGCAATCAATTGTATACAAAAACAAAAACATATGTTGCAATATATTCCCTGGCTTGGAGAATACGGGAGTTGGACTCGGGGGAGGCTTTTTGAAGAAAAAAAAGGACACCATTCGAACCAAGAAAGAGAGAACAAAATAGAAAAGAAGAAAAAGAGGGAAATGAAAGGAGGAGAACGTTACCTTTTCCTTCAAAGGGGTTCGATTTCTTCGTCACTAAAACAAGAAGATCGTCATTCGTCTGAGATAACCTCTCTGTTTTCTCTAGATCTAGGACGAGAGGAGGGTTAGAGGTAAAATAGTGGATATATAGAGTTTTTTTTTTTAAGTTAAGAGTGAAAAAACAATATCAACATAAAAAAATCATAATGGGTAAAAAAATGACAAAATATTGCACACCAATTACGATGATTAAGTTGTTCAGATATTGTAGGCACTATATTTTGTCGGAGATCAAATTTCTCTTTTCATTTTATTTAATCATTATTTTTTAATTTTTACTTTATTTTGTTTATAGTATATTATATTGAGTCTAGGAAATAGTATGTTTGAGTTACTAATTAATTATAAACGACTTATGATTAGGTTATTCCTTTGTATGTGATAATTATTTTATGGTTTGCCATTTGTATTAACTGTATGTTATCACCATTTGTGTTTGGGATTCAATCAAGTTTGAATAGGCTAGGTTAATGTTAATCTGATATAATATAAAATATATTAATAATTAATTTTATATTGATATTTCTTATTCATTTATATGTTACATACGAGGCCCATTATTGCAAGAGTCATGCCCGAATTAAAAAACAGACCAACATGCCAAAACTGAAGCCCAAGAGGATGGCTCGTATGATAACCCAACAAAAATTAGGGTTTTCATCTCTTCTCCCTCAATCACCTCTTGCTCCCAACCGTTGGATCTTGGCTTGATCCAACTGCCCAGATGAGAAGTGAATAGGGTTTTTGGAACCTTAGACTTGTCGCCTAGGCCAATTCACTCTGACGTTGCCGTTTTAATCAGTAATCAACATGTCAATCAGTCAGTAAAAAGTTAAAATCAACCAAGAAATACATATAGCAATGATCCACTCAAATAAAAAAAAGGGAATCCCGACGAAAATCTTGGACCATCACAAAATAAATCATGAACTACTATAGATCTTCTCTGTAACACCAAAATAGACCACCAAACATAACATGTAGAGAGGATCCAAAAAAGGGGACTATATATTTTAATGAGTATAAAGGTCCTTTTTATTTATTTTAGGTATTTATTTACCTCTGTTTAATTATTTTATTTATTTATTTATTTATCTTTATTTAATTTTATTATATTTTATTAATATTTCTTTCATCTTTTATATGTCATTTATTATTGTTACATTCATAAATCATGCATTTGTTTTCTTGTTTTCTAAAATAATCAAAGGCAATGTTGTCTTGCGTCGTGAGTTAACAAAATTACGTCCAACATAGCTGAATTTCAATTTTCATTAATTCACGTAGTAAGAAGACATCATTCTTAAATAACATCGAGTGAATTAAATCATTTTTGATTGGGTTAAATATTTTAAAAGAGATTCACTCATTTGTTCTAAACTCGTAGAAATAGAAGGATCCTAACTTTAATTTTGAGTTTTAATATGTAAAATTCGATCGTTTTAGACAACGTATAATCAAGGGTACTAATTTTGGGCGTTGTGGGGGTGCTCATCATTCCCCATGCATAATCGACTCTTAAATCTTTAAAATGAATTTATGGTAATACGTAGATCAATTTTTATTTTAGAAAACGATTTTTATTAAAATTGTTTTAAAATACGTTTTTAGTTATTCGACTTATCTAACCCAAAGGTCGATGACAACTCTAAAATTCAAATTAAACGAATCCAAAATTTTTAAAATAAAATCATAATTATTTTAAAATTATTTATTTAATAAAAATGGTAATTATTAATTAGAACACATTCAATTCATTATATTGAATAAACGATCATTTAAGCGATTGCACTTTTCTTTCCTTTTTTCAACTTTGATTACCATTTTCATTTTCCATTAAAACAAGCAAATCTAGAAACACAATCAAACAGCCGATTTTTTGGTAAAACAATAGTCACTCAAAAGGGATTCTCAAACGAGAAATAAAGTGAAATACCAAGAATTCTGCAATCTCAAACTAACCCAACATACTCTTGCTAACCTACGGACAAGGATTATGGTTGCGTTTATCGTTATTACTGACATAATGAGTGCTATTGTAGTCATTGCGACTATCACAATCATACAATAACAGTTTCATACAGCACTAAAACCGCTATTTAAATCCGTGACAACAGATAACACCACCATATATGGTTTCTAACTTTCTATTCCTGGTCACATCTGCATGCAAAGGCTAAGAATAATCTGCATCCCTACAACGACCCATATGAGCACTAAAAAGGAAATACATGGAGTTACTTGCTTAGACAAAGATGAGTGATTCTCAAAAGTTTTGCTGGTCCTCAATAAAAATAACCTCGGCATTTTGGCTATCCGCATAAACATTTATTTTTTCCATAATCCACTTTGTTACTTTCGCTCTCATCCGAGTGTAGAATGACGTAGTCGTATGTCAGCTCCGTTATCGAAGGGATGTGTCTCTTAGCAAAGAAAACAATATGGAGGAGAACTTCATTGTTATGTTCATACATGATCGGGTGGCAGAAAACATTTGAAGAACAACTATGGTTCATAAACCGAGCTACATTTCCACTGTTCTTCGAACTTATGGTTAGGGGAGATGGGATATCATAATCTTCGACAGTGTCAGAACTTTCCTCTCCTAATAACTCAATTTCATAATTCCACTTGAAGGGTTCATAGACTCGATTTGTATGGAAAACATACTCATTGCTTTCACCATCTCTCCCGTCCTGTCTTGTGTTAATTTCCTCAATAACTTCACGTGCATATTCACAAATGAATGTACCTGCGCGAATAGGGTTCCATTATCGCAGACCCCAACCGTTATATTTCGTCTTAAAAACTTCGAAGCGAACCTTAAAGCCAGTCTCTGTAACCCTATATTTCCAGTTAGGAAGGCTGGCGCACATGGAGCCACATTCATATATCATCGATTTTTGACGCACTAGAATCCCATAGGATGTGCAAGGTAAATCACCTTCGTTCTTTTTAATGCAAAAACAACAGCTTGAATTTCTGGCTAGGCAAGCTTCACAACAATCAGAACCAAAAGAAGGTTGCAATAACTTGAATGATTTCGACTATTTGATAGTACATAAATAAGTGAAATGAGCGGGGCCCTTTTCATCATCAACCTCATTCACAAGTGAAACATGTATGCTTTCCGCACCGGAAGTGAGGTCAGGAAGTATAAGTTCATCCCTTGAAGATAGACCTCCCTTCTATTACTGAGTCAAATTCCAAGTTGCAAAAGTGTCTTTTTGCCTGGGGATCCTATCTAGTTTATACTTGAAGACATACCCCCTTCTCCGTCGATGACTCTTGGACCTTGTAAAGGCCATCGTATACATAGACCTTCGACGTTTGGTGGTAAGAATCCTGAAAACCTCGAACGACTCTTACTTCATTGGATCAGTGCAAGCTCCTTTTCAGAGCAAGATTATCCCTCCCGAGCTTCTGATCGGATGCTTCTTTATCACCACTGGCATTCCCACCATGACCGGTGTATACCAAAACATCGTGATCTTCGACATCAGCATCATACCCTTCAGATGAAACAATGCTTACAATCACTCGTTCTCCCTCTAAATCACCATTCATAGGCATGGTGTAATATCCCAATTATCGGGTCAGTGACAAAAATGTAAGAATTCAAAACTTAGTGGTTTGATTAGAATAATTTGAAAAATTAAAGATTTAATTGTGGAATTTTATGTAGAATTTGATATTAAATTTGGATTAGTTGAGGGGTAGTATGGTCTTTTCTCTGTGAAAGATTTTTTATCTCCTCTCTTAAGGGATAAGCACGTGGTAGAGAAGGGAAAAGTCTGAAGCTTAAGTTATTTTCTTTCTTCTTGCTCGTGGAAGCCAATTCGAAGGTAAACTTATGAAATTTGTTGGTTACTTCAATTTTTGGGTTGGTGTTGAAAGCTTGGGTGTTATATAAGTCTAAGGAAAACTTGTATAGAATTAAGACAACAAGAGGAGTAAATTAGAAATGAATTTGTGAAATGGGTTTTGAGATGAATTATTGATATGGTGTAGTTTATGGAGTCATTTGTAAATTTGACTTGTCAAGGATCTAACTAAAGAGTTAAGCAAATTAGAAATGATTAAGAACTTTTTTGAAATTATGGTATGATTTTGAGATGTAAGAGTTTTTATGAGATTTTGCATGTTTAGGAGTAATAAATGGAGGCAGTTAGTTTTGATAAATGAAGTTGAGTTTAAAGGTATAAAAGGAAGTAGAAGTAGGATATTAGTTAAGTTTAGGTTAAATTTTGAAATGGAAATGGTAAATTCTGGGCAAGGGTATTGATACTATAAGAACAATACGGATACTTCAAGGCTTAATCAATTAAAAATCGACGAT